CCTCGAACAGGACTATCTGACTGGGTTCTAAACTCCTATCTTCCGTTGCATACAGTTGCGCGAATGCTGCGGGTTTTACGTGAATCACTTCGAATAGAAAATATTCTACGTGAATCACTCGCATCTATGCAAATACTGTGTGAACCACTTCACCAGCTCTTGCGTCGATCACTCCAAATAGAAAATATTTTGCGTTAACCACTCCACTCACTCTTGTATGTATCACTCAAACTACATTGCCTCGTTCCCTGCGGGTCTCACTCACTGCACTATCTACATGCAGTGCTCAATGAACTACTCCGTGCTTGCGTGAATCACTCAGATACCTAATGGAGTGTACGGAGTGTATCGGAGGGATTCACGTAGGTGTATGAATAGCCACTGCCAAAAAATATTATGGACTATTTGGGTATAAATTTCGTTTTCAATGAATGTGAGTGCAAACCTCGCCTTCGGCTCGGTCTGTACACTTAACATTCGTCGAAAAAAGTATGTGTATTCCAATATCCTATTTCGATAGAAGTCTTGCAAAAATTGAACAGAATTTTTGAATGAATACGCGAAGATTTTCTGTCAACATTTTTCGTTTGTGGAATAAACTGAAACTGGATTCATCTATTCTGGAATATAAAATAGATGAATAGCACGGAGGAATATGTAAGGAACATTTTCTAATCTGTGGCGTATGCAGGCATTGTTATAAGGACGTTTCTTCATACAGCGAAGAGGAAGGTGCACAAAAAAAATTAACAAATTTCTTCAGTTCTTTAAAACTCAGCCATAGTTTACAAAAACTGATATCGTGCCTCATGTGGTATTATCTAGAGCACCTCGTCCGCGTCTTCTCCACCATTTTCGTATTCTATTTGTCTTTCGGTATTAATGGAATGAATATCTCCATGGAATTTTTTTGTAAAGTTTATCACAGTTATTTATGTTCCCCGCACAGTAACTCTCAAAGAATATGTCTCTCTTAAATTTATCTCGATTCAGAACTTCCTGATCATATTCTTTTACTAATTTTTTTTTATCACAAAAAGAACTTGTTTTTTCACCTTTGGAAATTGCCATGGAAAAAAACCCTAACACAATAAACATTTTACAGATTTGGTTCTCACGCTACTAAGCTCTGACAACGAGGGATTGAAGCTAGAGATTCGAAAAAATCTCGAAGACGATTTACCAGGACTCAAAGATATGGCCAATTATTTTCGGAAACAAGTAACCGCTGATAAATAGAGGCCAATTATTGTAATATATTTCAGTACTAATGTGGAGATGATCATTATTCGTAAAAATTGTCTACAAGATGTCCCAAAATACCAATGAATATTTCAGAGGATGAAAAAGGATGAAATTCCGAGTTGAAAGTTCGTTGTCTCCTTTTGACACTGGACTTTAGTTATTAATTCTGAATGGATACATCTCCAGGGCGCTCTATCTACGGTTACACTGAGGTGGTTCATCGCTGCATTTACCAACCGTTTGAAATATAATATTGACGTGTTACATATTGATGTAGTTCAGCCAATCTGGAAAAGGCTCATGTACCCACTAAAATATAAGTAGAGTTCCATGTCAGTGCTCATCATGGTGAAAAAGGATTGTACATATATATTATTATTATTATTATTATTATTATAATTTTATAACCTACATTGTATAACCTTTTCACATCACAAATTAAAAATATAGAAAAATGGTATAAATTTAGCACAAAGATTATCCGCAAGTATAGTAATTGACATAAATGATGAAAATTCACTTATTTCAATATATGTATATACATATATATATATATATATATATATATATATATATATATATA